TATACATTTGTGTTATGTTCACAGCACTTTTGTTTTTTTCTCCGCGGCAATTACACCATGCGCAAGCAGGAATGTCCAGCACAGAGGACACTGATTTTACCTATCATACATCACAGAGAGATTAGTGATTATACACACTGGTTGTCCTCCTATTTACCCCCTACTCGAAAATATTTCCCGTATACAAAACAATTTCTTTTTCCAACATATTATAAATCTGAAATCATTTTTTCAAGTAAAGAACACAAATTACCTATTAAATAAAACATTTTTTTATTGTTAATTACTATTAAATCTCTATATATATAAATTAATTTGTGTGTGTGTGTGTGTGTTACGTGTGTGTGTGTGGTGTGTCCACATTAAAATGGCATTTCTTTTTAAATCTAAGAAATGAAAATGTAATACAAGATTCCTTATAAGATTATCTACCTTTATCAAAAAAAAATGTCAATAAGAAAGACAAATTATATTTTTATGAGCGTTTGAAATTCAAACTTTTACAACATTGGATATTCACTCGATTTATCATGTAACGATTCCTTATTTTGTTGTAATTCAAAAAGGAATAACTGTAGTTACATGAAAATTTTACTGAATGTTTATACTAGCATTTCCTATACACCATACAATTTTGAAAATATTTTGACTCTTTCTGAGCTGTTTACCGACATTTATAGTTTTCATTTTTTTTAGTTTTTTTTCCTATAAATATCAATTCAGTTTTATCCGTCGGGGTCAAAAAGTGTAAAAATTTAATACAAGGCTCCTGATATATTGTTACTATTTCAGTTGAAAAATATTAAAAATACATAGGCACAGTTTTTTTTTTATAAGTATTTTAAGATCGAATTTTGACAAAATTTATCAAATTTAAAATTGAATAATTATTTTGTAGTTAAAAATTTATAAAATGTTCAACTTTTATATCTAAGGATTGAACATTTAAAACAAGATTCCACGTAAGTAGTTAATTCTGGTTAAGTTCAACTTTGTACGAAATTACATAAAAAAAAAACCTAGAATATCTACTATTTTATTTATTTTGTTGTGATTGTATAATATTATTCGTGGCCTCGTGGGTACTTGAAACTTCTAAAGTACACTATTATATGTCTATGGACTATGATAGTATCAGGATTCAGGGTTTGTTGTTGATGTATAATAATTATAATTTATAAGTACCTACCTAATGGATATTGTGGTATGATGAATTTGGAATTTATTATAGGTATTTATTTTAGGTCAATTTTTTTTAATACCTAACCTAACCTAGACCGACATACCGTCTCAGCTCAGAATCGTTTTTCTTTTACAATTATATATTATATCATTGAATTCAAATTTAATACCATCCATTATACAGTGACCCACTTGTAACCTACTGTACAGCAGAGTACACCTTTTTCATTATGTAATTTCGTCCAAATTTGAATTTAAAATGACTATAAAAATAAACTGTGCTTATGTATTTTTTAGATTTTTTAGTAACAGAATTAACTACTTACGTGGAATCTTGTTTTAAATGTTCAATCCTTAGATATAAAATTTGAACATTTTATACATTTTTAACTACAAAATAATTATTCAATTTTAAATTTGATAAATTTTGTCAAAATTCGATCTTTAAATGCTTTAAAAAAAAATTGTGCCTATGTAGTTTTAATATTTTTCAACCGCTTTTTTTTCACAATATATCAGGAGCCTTGTATTATATTTTTACACTTCTTGGCCCAACAGATAAAACTTTGTTGATATTCATAGAAAAAAAAAAAAAATTGAAATATGAAATCGTTCGTAAACAGCTCAAAACAAGTTAAAATATTTTGAAAAATTTATCAAGTATAAGAATTGATAAAATTAACATTCACTGAAATGTTCATGTATCTACAGTTATTCGTGTTTGAATTAAAACTAAATAAGAAAATCGCTACATGAGAAATCGAGTTAATATTCAATGTTGTAAAAATTTGAATTCCAAACCCTCATAAAAATTTAATTTGACTTTCTTATAGACATTTTTTTTTTTTTTTGATAAAGGTAGATAATCTTAAAAGGAATCTTGTATTACATTTTAAAATCTTAGATTTAAAAAGAAAAATTTTTACAAATTCTTAACTCAAAATAATTTGCTTATTTTCGTGATTTTTCCATATTTTGACAATGTTTAATCTTTAAATGCTTATAAAAAAAAAATTGTGGCGAAGGATTCTTAATATTTTTCAAATGTCTTGTAACAATATAGTAGGAGCCTTGTATTCAATTTTCAAGGATTTTTACTAAACAAATAAAGTTTTATTGACATTCATAGAAAAAAAAAACTAATAAAATTGGAAACTGAAAATTTCCCTAAACAATTCAAAACAAATCAAAATATTTTGAAAATTTGATCATGTATAGAAAATGAAAATATAAACAACCAGTGAAAATTTCATGTGTCTAGAGTCTAGAGTCATTTGTTTTAAACTTAAACCAATAACCAAAATTGATTTTCCAGGCGCTTTTGAAAACTATTGGTAATTTAAGGTAATAAGGTCTATGAGTAGATATAATAGTATAGTTTATAATTGTAGGTACACTAATACTCATTGAAAATAGAAGAATAATTCATAGTTATATACCTAATATTATAGAAAATAATATATTATTAAATAATTTTAAATGTTAATTTATAGTGGGCTTGCGGCCCATATCCGGCCCGGTAATTACAAGGGGGGGAGGAAAATTCTAACCCTGCCACATTTTTCAAAAAAGAGGTCGAGCCACGGCCCGACGTCAGCATGGACTTCGGCGCCACTGAATATTACTATTTGGTATATTGTAATTTGTAATGTCCCATTATACAGGATGCGTAACAGAGGGCGCGGCCCGTTTCGCCCAGATACCCGTTTCGACCAAAGTCATTTTAGTCGTTTTCAAATTAAGTTGGCAATGATTTTTAAATAATATAGTATTTTAGTATACCATATAATATTATGTATTAACTATTAAAAAAAAAAAATTACATTATATTATAAAATATTACTATTTTCAATAAAAACTTTTATTCTAACTCTCCATCAATTATAAGTTGGTAAAATATTATACGCAATGAGATCCAGACAGAAACGTATATCAAAATGAATAGTGTTGAAATTCCCAAAAAAACAAAAGACAGAAAGACGAAGGAAAGACAAGAATACAACGAAAAACGTATACTTTTATATAGATCTGGCGAAATTACTAGGTACGAATTTGTAAAAAGCATGTGTAGAAATTTTAAAAAATAATAGTGTTCGTAAATAGATTTTAATAACTTGACTTAATTTTTATAAAAAAATAATAATATAATAAATTGTGTAATGTTTTTTTTTTTTTAAATAGTTTTTAGTAGACAATAATATGTGTATAAATGTATAATATTGAGTATGTATTTTTTAAAACTTTGGCAATTACCAATATTTGGCAATATTTTACCAACTTATGATTGTTGGAGAGTTAGAATAAAAGTTTTTATTGAAAATAGTAATATGTTATAATATACCTAATGTAATTTTTTTTTTTTTAATAGTTAATTATAATATATAATATTATATGGTATACTAAAATACTATATTATTTAAAAATCATTGCCAACTTAATTTGAAAACGACTAAAATGACTTTGGTCGAAACGGGTATCTGGGCGAAACGGGAAAGGTTGAGTTTGGGCGAAACGGGTGCCGCCCGTAACAGAAAGACCTGACAAGTGAAAAACTAGAAATTTATGCTAACCATAGTAGGTAATTGATACAATGATAGGTACTATAGATAAACGTAAAAAAATTAATGAAAAAATTATTGAAATTTATATGGATAATAAATAATTTAAAGTCTGAAAATTCCCAAAAAAAATATTTAAACAAAAGTTTTTAGGTATGTTTTACAAATTAATATACTCCAAAAATATATTGATATTTAAAAAAATTTGAAAAATAACTACTTGATTTTATTTTGTTACTATCAATATTTTTCTAAAAATTAGTTTTATAAATTCGCTATTTTTGAATTTTTTCAAAAAAAAATTCAATACAATTTAAAATTTAAAATGTTTAGCGTATAAAAATATTATCAATATCATATTATTATTAATTGTTCGATGGTATCGTTATCATTATCTATAGATATTTAAATATTATATTAATTATTCACGGTAATATCATCACAGAATAGATAAAATATATTATAATAATTAGTAATATTACTATTATAATTGTAGAATTGCCGTAGACTTATTACACTATACTTGTACAATTCTATTGTCTTAATTTGAATGCATTATATTCTTATTTGCAAATAAATAAAATATAATTATTATTATTATTAAAATCTATAATAGTCTATATATGTAATGCCCATGGTCATGTCGTAATCAGCTCAATACGCCACTCAGGTGCTCGCCAATTTGCTCACTCTACGGAAATCTCATGGAAACAACCATTTTACTTTTTTAAATTACGATAACATTAACAACAAAATATACTAAATTCGTTTGAATCTGTAAAAAAATATGTACGGCATCCGCAGGTTAGGTACCAAATCATAGATACGACAGTCAAGTGCATGGACAATATTATATTATTGTACTATATTATATAATAATAGGTTCATAAGTGATATTCTGTAGGAAAAAATAAATATGATGACATTCCAAATTTCCAACAATAATAATATAATAATAATATTGTTTACAAGAAGTACAACGAGCTAACCGTCTACCGGCCTAACCTATACACGGCGTAGCATTTTCGATATTATTCTTATCTGTCGTAAAGTCCACTCGTTCCTTATCAAAAACGAAATATATGTGTAAAACTGTAAACTCTGAAGTGACTGAACTACCAAAGTGTGATTTGTTAAAAATATGTTCATGTGTATGTAGTGTGCGCTGAAATAATTTAATTATATTCGATTGAAACATTATCGTTAATACAACCACGACTACTGAATTGGTCAGTAAAACGGTACTAGGACGACTTCAAAATGAACCCAAACGAAAACGAAGAAGATACCAAATATTGTTTCAACTGGTGAGCTTCATTACTATAACTATCACTGTCTAATAGACTGTTTTGAATTCCAGCTTTATAGTCTGTGCGTCTGTGTGTAAATGCATCAAAACCGAAATTCCACTACAAATATCAATTGGTTTTTTTTTAATTTAGCCAACATAATATGTTTACTATGCTTTACAATTTTGAATGCGGCCTTATCTGTCGGCATCATGATTATTTTATGCACAATCGCTCTGTTAACATATATATATATATTATACACCATACTTCCGAGCACTTCCAATCGTATTGAAACTAAACGAAAATATTTGTATTCCTACCTATACAAATCATCAATTATTGTGACTACAAATGTCGCAGACTACTCTACATATCTATTTAAAAGTGTTACTCTTAGTACCTGGGTAATGTAGATAGCTAAAAATTATTATTATTTGTTTCTTTTAATGTGTGATGTTGGTACCTATATCACTATGACTTTTAATCCAAAATGCAAATACTTAAGTTAAATATAAGTATTTTATACAAAATAATTGATGTTTCAAGAGCTCATATTAATCCAACAATAATCCAATCGAATATAATCATTGAAAAACCGATTCTATCTTGAGCTTTTGATTGGTTATTGGGGCATTTTTTTCATGTAGGTACCTATTGACGTAGCATACCTGACTAAATATTATGGTTGGGAGGTAGAATTAAATTTGTAAAATGTACTAATATAAAATATCTAAGAACTTTGCAAGATTATAAATTAAATGGATTACCTATATCAAAATTCTGAAGTACCTACAGTAATAAAATAATAACCTATCATCACTAGCCACTTTGGCATTATTACATTTTACTGTTTGGATCTTGGTACCTTTACAGTTCACCATATTTGATAATAAAGGCTTAGTATTAATTTTGCAGTGAACAACTGATGATAACGAGGATGATAATTAATATAAAAAAAGAAAAAACTAATTTATATTTGAATATAATTCATAAATAATATAAACAACGAAGTGTCATCTTTGTAGAGTGAAAAACATTCATTGATCAAAAGCAATGCTTCAGGCAAATTAAATTTACTATAGGTACATGCCTAGTACATAGGTATCAAACTTCTTCATCTCTTTTGAGTTTTCACAATATTTTGACGACTCACAATTTATTAATGAATACAATACGGACGATTATTATAATGACTTTAGTACTATCAGGCCCTGATTTACGCAAGTGTAGATGGAGCACTTGCACTTGGCCCGCCAATTTCTGGGGGCCCCCGGTCTCCGGAAGTTGTAGAAATTTTTTTTTTTAAATTAATTCCACAAAAATTTATTTTGTAAAATGTAGTACCAACTGTCAATGTTCAGAGTTCAGTTTATCTTTATCATTAAATTGTCAGTATTTTAATTATCTTTGTAGTTTTTAAACTTTTATGATAAAATGTTATAAAAATAGAAATTATAGAAATTGATAATTTTTTATTTAATTTTAATTATATAAAATAAATTACTTACCATTTTTTATAATTTTATTGGATATTGAAAATTAATTATTTTAATTTAAATTCATATAATAAAATCCTTAAGTATTTTTAATATTTTAATATAATATTATAATTTTGTTATGCTATTTAATTATTATTATATTTTCATTGTCCTTAATTTACTAGACCAAGTAAGTGAAGTAACTAAATTGTATTTATAGTAAATTAAATAATGTACAAATATTTTATGAGTTTTGAGATAGGTATTTAACACTTTTAACATATAAATATATTTTATTTTATTATCAACATTCCCCTCCCCCCTTTATATCTAGATTTTTTCTGGAACATTCTTTTTTATTTGGAGTGCCCCAAAAAAAATTGTGCACTTGGCCCTAATTTTATTTAATCTGGCCCTGAGTACTATAGAAATAAAACTTAAAATTTCCATAATCGCTATAATGATTAAAAATAATACTTATATTTCTGTATTACATTAATTATGGATTCCAGTTCTTTAAAGCGGCTTCCTTTGTTAACTACCACAACCCACAGTTTCAATACCTTTAGCCTAGTATATTCTTCCTCTCTACCAATTTGACGACAATATATTACAATTATTAAAACAACTGTAGAATTAAAAAAAAATTTAATATAGGGAAGATAACTTAAAAATCTATAATATAAAAAACAATTTGTGATACGTTCAGTTACTAATTATAATCTGCTTTACTTACCATTGATTTTATATTGTACATACTCCAAAATATGTGTAAAATGACTAAACATTTTTAAGTTTAAATAACAAATACAATTTACTGAATGTAAGTACTATTCTCTTATGCATTGAAGATTGTAAGTATTCAAATACTGCAAATGAGTGTTTTAGATGATCCGTTTTATATCAATATATAACTGTGGTATTGTACGATTGTGCACTTACACCTTCTAATATTTACTCAGATTATACATGTTTTTTCATTCCAATTCCTCTTAAGATTATACTGTATTAAATTTGGAATCATCAAATTTACATAGTCGTTTGATAGAAACCGTAACAAAGTAAATAATTCCTATATATTTTATTCAATAATAAAAGGATAGGGTGACAAAGTGGCTGAGCGGATTACGGAGTCTTTTCTGACACCCACCGGCACTGGTTCAAACCTCGGTTCACGGGGGGCATTCTTCTTTTTTTTTTTTTTTTGAAAACAAATGCCTTGGCGACTAAGGGGCCATTGGCTACAATAGTCAGAATTATTGTCAGTTATAACTTGACTGTCAATTACTCGTCACGTACAAGTGTGCAACGCATATATTTTCGCGTATTTTCGTTATTACGTTCCAAATTTATTTAGAATTTACAACAAATAAAATGACTTTTTTTTTTTGCTCATAAAACAAATCTTTTCCTAAAGACCTTAATTCTCCTGGATGTCGATCACCTGGGACTAAAAATTTGAAATGTAGCTCACTTGTTTGAAAATGTTGGCGACTCCTGGCCTACAGTATTGATTTTTGTATTATAAATTGTATTGATATTTAATTTCTTAATTATATATAACATTTATATGTTATAATTGTGCCTAATTAGTAATAAAAAGTGTTCTCTATATACCTATTTTATGAAACCAGATGAGTTTGAAAAAAAACATTTTCTATAAAGTACTTACAATAAAAGTAACTTTTTAATAATTTTTTTCTATCTATTATTAATTATTATAACAGATTTTGTATAGTTTCAAAAATAAATAGATTTATAAAATATACATATTTATGTATGCGTTACCGGCAAAGACGTAAATTAATGAATTAATTTGATGTTCGTTAGTATCACACTCCTAGTTACTAAATTGTTAAATATTTTATAGTCTTAAAATATATTAATATTGTTTTAGCCGAAGAAATATTCCACTCATTAACCATGTAATGCACACTGCATACTGTCACCGTAATCTGAAGCTTTGCATGAAGTGTGACGAACCGTTCCTAACTTCAGATTATGAAGAGCATCAAAAAACCAAGCATTCGGTTATTTTATGCGATGCCTGTTCTGAAAAACTAGAAGCAATAGATTTAGAATCACATAAAGTATGTACTGTTTATGTTTTATAATTCTATTATTAATATATGCTACATTATTTAGTTAAACGATTGTCGTCACCGTATGCAAACATGTAATTATTGTCAGATTGATGTAGAAGCTTGCTTGTTACCTGCACACACAGATATGTGCAGTAGTCGTACAGAACGCTGTAACAGTTGTGGACAATTTATCATGCTTAAGTTTTTGGCTGTACATCAGGAAACTCATGAACGTAAAGAATTACTTAACGGTAAAAGGAAACATTGTGTGGTATTGGATTTTTGAATTTTATATTAATTATACATTTGACAGTAGTTGCTAAACCAGTAATAGACGACAGTCCAAGCAGTTTGGCAGCATATCCGCCATTAATAAAAAAAGTGCCAAACATTGCAGTAACTTCAAGACCAACAACAAGAACTACTAGCATGCCCACGTTGAGACTACACGAATCAACCATGACCAATCATAGGGTAATACCACCAGTCAAACGCAACAACGATCAACCTCAAATTAACACTCATAGCAGTAACGATAACACGCACAAAGATCCAAAAAAGAATATGCCAATAGTAGACACGCCAAGCGGTAATAATTAGTTTAATTTTTTTGTTTTTTATTTTTTAGTAATAATTTTTTAAAACAAATAGTGATTAAAGCATTAAACCTATTGGTAAATATTTTTTTTCATTTATTTCTTTCACAAAACAGATAGCGACTGTTTATTCTAGCATATCATTTATATTTTCAAAGAGTTCTTATTTATTGGTTACAATTTAAACAAGTTTAATAATGCTAATTTAAATATTTTCTTTATTCCAGTTTCTTATTATGTAGCGAAATGGTTTGTTCGTGAATAAAATATATACATTTTGATATTTAATCCAATGCACTAGTATACATAAATATGCTATATTTTTAATTGTTTATTTGAATTATTAGAATTCAAACCGTTTACTTTTACTAGATCTAGATGATGATGACGATGAATTTCCTATACTTGGTGCTTATTCAATTCCTAATAACCATTCTGCAAATATCAATAACCATTTAGCAAATGAATACAACAATTTTTCCGATACATTCGAAAGTGTAAAACTACCATGCGAGTTTTGCCTAGAAATGATTGACTCTGAAAATCTTGTTTTGCATGAAGTAAGTTGCATTATAAGTTATAACGTTGTTTGTCTGGTAAGTGTAATTATTTCCCGATTGATATTTTATAGACTGGATGCCGTCCAGATTTAGCAACATTTCATAATGTTTTGCAAACAAATAAAAATACCAACAGCGAGAATGATATTTTTCCAATACCACCTCATGACTTAGACACCTCCAGCAGCAGTGGAGACAGTGAGCTCAATTTAAATACATTGAGTTTAAGTTCTGAAGATGAAGATGATAGTGAAAAAATCAATGTTGAGAAATTGCCTTGCGAATTCTGTGAAAAATTAGTATCCATTAAGAAGTTTTTAAACCATCAGGTAATGAGACATTGGAGTAATTAAATATTTTTTTAATCACTTATATAACATATTTAATCCAATAAGCTAATTTGCTCAATGAACTTAATTTCATATTTCTATATTAATATAATGGTTTTTCTAGTGGAGATGCGAAAAATTACATTTGGATTTACCTGTGATAAATAATTTTGATAAAGATGTGTATCCACAACCTATTATTAATACGAATACAAAGTTCCCAAAATCGGTAAACTTACTAGAAACTCAGCGTAATCTATTCAAAACAACATCTGGTAATGTATTATTACAACTCATTGATATCATCTGATATGGTATAATCTCAGTAATCCTAATTATGTAAGATTTATCTATGAATTAATAATTGTTTATTAGAATTTGAATAGTTTAATAAAAAACCTTACCTTAAAGTCTTAAAAATGACCATTGGCGGTTTTCTTTTCTGAATGTATACTTCCATTTTTGATTCTATTTAAATGCCAGTTCACAGTCAGATTATAGAAATTACACTTTATCAGTACTGTACAATTTTATCATGTATAGATATTTACATCTGAGTTCTTAATTTTAACTCTTTTTCAGCTCCAGCTAATCTATCTGGAAGAACTTTAACATTGAGGAACTCTGAAGCTAATGCTCAATCTCCAGCATCATCAACATATGACCCACAGACAAGACAGATACTGCCACGGGTCAAACTAAATAGACAAAATCCAAGTCGACCAAACATCCCTATGGATAATCGTTATGTGAATAACTCTGCTCGTAACAACTATGTACAGTTTATATCCAAGTAAGTTGTTTCTAATTTAAAAATATCCTTAATTGTCTTTATTTGAATATAAGCTTATTCGTAGTAATGATCTGTCGATTAGCTATGATATAATTTTATTATTTAATTAAAGAAATAATTAATTAACTTTGTTTGAACAATACTCGTGTGCATACTCTTTAATCGTGATGGTAAAAATTGTTGAAGATTTTAGAACTTAACGTCTGAACAAATTAATTAATAATCTTCAATATTTGTATAATTATTGCTGTAGTAGCATACAATTTAACATAATATTAAGAGATATTTATCTAATAATTAAAATTTATTTACTTATTCAATTTTTTTTTCAAAAGTTCTAGATTAAATCATTCAGACCTGACTTCCACAATTAACAATTCTCCTGCATACTTAAACCCATCTAGTGGTGCTATACCGAAACAAAAAAATATGAAGCCAAGCAATAACAGAAGAGTTATAAATGACTGTGAGTAAATTAAAATTTCAATATTGTGATATGTGGAACAAGGGGCATGCACCCTACCTAAAATATTGAAATAAATAAATAAATTTAATAATTTATATTAAATTAAAATGTAATGTATTATTTCAATAGTTCTATCAAAATATTTAGTTAGTAAATTTGACATTATTATTGAAATTAAAAAATGCCGGTGTTCTTACCTACAACACGTACATAGTATGCAAGCACCAGGCAGCAGGCACATACCTGTTGTGCCCCAATTAACAGCAGTAGATTCCCCAAACTGTCAACAGAAATTATAATGGCGTTTTCAGGCACAACCAAAGTGTCCGGATTTTATTTTTATTATGATTTACTGGGTTCATTGGTCTTATTGTCTTCGTTGTCATAATTTTGTTTTTATTAAATATTTGTAGTATACCGCATAAGTGTGTATTAAGGGGGATGCAGCAGGTTTTGTCAAAAGTCAAAACCAATGTAGATTTGACCAACCTAAACATTAATATTGTTTGCTATAGTATTTTTTGATATATTTAAATTCATTATCATAAAGTAAACCTTAAGGGGGCTGGAGAGGGCTCCAGTCAATGAAAAAAATGTGACTTTTAGACCAATAAACTAGACTAAATTGGAAGAATTAGGTTTGATAGATTTTAATTTTGAAAACAGATTATGATTGATCAACAAGTTTACTAGGGAATGATTGAGGCGATCTTGAATATTTCAATTATTGTTAGTATCATAATGAATAATATAAATACAAAAATATCATATTTTTATTCTTGGATATCACAGCTGAAAAAAAAAATTCAAAATTGCCTCAATCATTCCCTAGTAAACTTTTTGATCAATCAATCCGTTTTCAAAATTAAAATCTGTCAAACCAAATTCTTCCAGTTTTGTCTAGCTTATTGGTCTAAAAGTCACTTTTTTTTCATCTGCTGCAGCCCCCTTAAAAGTTTTTTTGTACATAATAGTATAATACAAGACTTGAGTTAAATTTAAAAACAACAGAAATTAGATGTGGTAAGTTGTGATAATAGTTAAGGGGAAATATTTGTGTCCCACGAGCCACCACTGATTTCAATTAAATATGAATAAATAACGAAATAAATAACGAATGAATGTAATATAGCATACTATATTCAGTATTGTCTTGTGTTCACAGTATCAAAGAAGAAACGTAGAGATTCTGATTCATCAAGCGACTGAATTACATTCAGTATCTTTTATTTTAATAACTTTTTTTTATGTTTAAGAAGACTATAACTAGTGAAATTTATGTAACCTTAAGTTTTAAAAACTTTTTTCTCTAATTGTTTTTAACTCTTCTTAATATTTTGCTTTTTTTTATAAGAATAAAGATGTTAAATAAAATAATAAAAATAAATTTAATTATTTGCATTTATTATATTTTAAATTAAGATATTATCTTCTCATATCCATGAGTTAATGTTTTTTTTTGGTATGTTACAAAATATCATATTTGTATTATTATTATTATTATTATTATTTATTATTTATATGACAAATGTGATAATTATTAAATAAGAAATTGGAAAATACATAGAGATCGGACAAACTACAAAATATACCAGAATGTTTCCACGAGGATTGGCCAAAAGGCCACCAGGGAAGAACAATAAAAAAAATGGATTGTATGATTTTGTTCCTCAGTAACCGAACAATTTGTATGATTAATAACTGAAATACATAACTGACACTCTGTACAATTGTAACCCTTCGTCCCTTTACGCTGTAAATTTGATAAATAATAATAAGAAACCTATGGATAATACTACAAAATACAATGTAATGTGAAATCGCAAAATATCACGCCTGGTGCCAACGACTTCGGTAAAATTTAAGTCTATGATTTAACTATATCGAGTTGTAAATGTTTCATATAATTAGTAATAAAAATATTATACTTCAACATTACTAATTGATTGTTGTAATTTTTAATATGTATAGATTGATGATCGGAGCATTCTACTAAAAATAGTGTCTAGTTCTTAAGGCAAAAAAATAAAATTCAATATATTCATCACTCTGCTAAATATCTAAAACATAACTTTTTTAGATTTTAATGTGAAATTTCAAAGTATTTCACTGATCTGATCTTTTTATATCTGAGTACCACCTACACATATTGAAAATGTTTGCGTGCCACTTGAAGATTTCTTGACCTAATATATTTTTTTTTTGTTTATCAAAAGATGTATGTTAATTTATGAAGGGGGCTTTTTATTAGGATCAACATAATTATTAACATTTAGGAATTTAATATTAATGAGAGAACAAATTGTATTAAATGTGTTGTACAATTCTTTTTATCATTATTAAAAACGGCCTCTACGCTGTTGATATTAATTTATAAAATTGGCTGGTATAAAATAAATCAAATAAATAATAACATTTAATGTTAGTAATAATTCCAATTTTTTTTTGACACTTATGAGCTTTTGCATACTACAGGTTAGTAAACGCAGAATCAGTCTAATATTTGAGACATTTTTGAATCAGTGTTCCAATAAAATATAATATCTGTTATGAAAATGTTATTTGATTTTTGGTGAACCATATTACCATATCAAATCCAATAAATTATTTCATGCCTATATAAAAATAAATCAGATAAATGGAGATATTTTTTTTTATAGTTTATTTGTTTTGAATTTGCTATTCAAAACATTACAAGTTGAATACAGTCTAAAGAAATAGAATAACTTATACTAATTATTATATAAACAATTTATGGATACATCAATATAAATTATTATAATATAAATATCTTTTTAAATCAAGATAACTGTCAAAAATAAATTTACCTAATAGTTAAAAAACATTGTATAGAAAAATTACACGAATGATGGATAATATTCAAGATTTACTAATAAATTAATACTTATTCATTAGTAATGCCATTATTTACAAGTTTACCATCAGCTTGGCGGTTGACATACAAACGGAATAACCGCAACCTCCATTGGTCTAATACATTAATGAGTTTCATTGAATCGGACAATCCACTTGGTTTGACAGCAGCATTCAAAAAGTTATACATGGTATCCAGTTTTTCTTCTTCACTGTATAAATCAAATATAAATACAGCATGTTCCAACAACTGAATGACACTGAACAATACTTTCTTTGGATTGTTTTTGAAATAATTTTTATCTACCAAATCTTGTACAAACCTGAACAAAATTATATAAGAATTATACACTAAGCAGAAAACACTGATAATACATTATGATACATTTTATACCAATCATTAGAATAGAAAAAAAAAACTAAGTAAAACTTCAATACTATTTTAATCATATTTGACATATAAAAATGTATTTTATAAATTTTATTAATAATGGGTGCTTCATCTTAAATACATTATGTACAATTTAAAAGCAATAGATTAAGTCTATTATTTTCTTTATTATATATTGTAAAAGTTGAGTTATATTAGTTGTATACTAGTGCTTTTAAAATAATGAATAAAGTCCATTTTGGTTAGAAATTATAATTGCAATAATGTTTTTATAAGCCGTTTGTTAAAATGCATAATAATATACAAATATATTTTTAAAAGCATTTTAATGTATAAGACTAGCTGAGTGGGGATTTATATATTTTATGATCAAGCGTTTAGTTTATTTAATCATAAAAAATACATACCATTCTTTGATGCTAGAGGGAAATATATTATTATTGTCAGTCTTTCCTAAAAGTGACATGTATAGTTTGTATGTTAAATATGTATACATTTTTTTCATTATTTGTCCTTCCAAAGGCAGAAATAAATCAACAGCCATAATTAATAAATCGTCTTCATTATGTTCTGAATACAATTCTTCAACAAATGCTATAATAGCGGGATCATTGTCTTCTTCTAATGATGTTTCGATACAAGCACTAAATAATCTTTTTAAAACATTTATCATTTGTCCACAAAGGTGAAAGTATATTGTAACAATATACTTGGCTATTTTTAGCAGTTCGTCAACACTAAATTTCTTGTTATTTTTCAGTATACTGAAAGATATGAAATTTATTACTAATTCAAAATTGTGCCGTCCAATGTTTTTAAAATCTTTCATTTGATACTCTAACGATGGATCCCTAGTTACAGTATCCAAATCTGCTCGCCAATTGCATAATATATTTTTGACATTCTGAAAAACATTTTTAATTTTGTTTTTAATAATAATTATACTTAGACAAAAAAAGTATAGTTATAATTATTACATAGACAATGTCATTAGAATTTATTATTTTTGAAACATACATCAAATATCGGTGACCAATTTGCTCCCATCAAATGGTTAAAATGAATATTGGCTTCAAGTTCATTTCCTTCAATTAACATAATTTGTAAGCGTTGTATACACAATTTGGTTAAATCAGAATCTGAGTTGTCTTTAAAGGGTATATTATAATTACAGCAGTCAACTGGATTAAAATGTATTGATACAAGAGGAAGTATGTCATTGCCTTCAAAATCAATAGTCTCATTTAGTTGTTCTTGGTACAATTTATCAACAACTTTCATCTCTTCTTCGAGTTTAGCAGTTTGTTCCATAAGCTTTCCTTCTAATTGTCTATTTTTCAAAATTTCATGTATATCAAATTTAAAAACTGGCCTTTTAAGTTTTTTAGGTGTATTCTTTTTTGGTATGCTTGGTTTTTTATCTTTCGTGGGTTTTTTCTTTGTTTTTGCCATTCTAAAAGATTGAAAATAAATATTACTTATGCTAGTATTTTAAAATTAGTTCAAAAGCATTGCGTCAAATCAATATTAGTGAACAAAATAATATAATTTATTTTTTACTACGTATATTATGCAGAATATATGTACCATACAAGCAAATAGCAATATTCCAAACAAGGAATCAATTAATTATTACACGGATAAGCTCTGTTGGTGGAAAAACCGAAAACAAGTTAAATCTATTATAGAACATGAAATATGAATAGACAGTATGTTAGTATGCAATATCTAAAAGTTAAAATCAATATTATTTTCACCTTTATTATTTTCATTATAGATTTATACAATGAGATTTTCTCAAGATATCAAATACCTACTATTTTGACAAATTGAAATAATTATTAAATTAATTAATACAAAATAAATTAAATGTCTTGTGAATACTGCAATAATATCCACACCGACAGTGTACCCTACTGGCATGAGATTTTTACCGTTATTGATGCATCAACATGTAATATTAACAGCCGCGATCCATGACTATAATAATATTATGTATTATAATCTAATATTCATTTCATTTCATTAATAATAAATATATTAACATTGTACAGTGACTACAGACAAGCATATAAGACACGAGGCACTTGAAAATAAACTCCCAGATACCATTTTACTTAAAGTTATTATATTGTATTGTCAATATTCAAACTTTTCAGTTTTTCTTTGTTGCTGTTCGGAATTTATATAATAGGGTTCTTTGATTTTTTTTGTTGACTTGAAATAAACTCGGCAACACTTAAATTAAAACCCTTTCCGAAATGTTTCATTTGCCGAGTACAAAAAACGATCATTGGGCAACTAGTCCAAGGGTGTCCATCAATCAGAACCTAGAAGGTTAATAATATCATACAAAAAAAAACTTAGAACCAACCAAATTGATTTTATTAAATAACAGAAAATAAATACACAACATAGATAAACGATGTACTATGTAACATGTCATGTATTATAATATCATCAGTAAAAATAGTTTATTATTTAAAATTACAAAAAATTACAATCATTTCACATTTGTCTAGGGGGGTTAACATGTCACTTCATCACACCCATTATGGGTGCAATTGCCAACTACGATAATAACAATAATAATTGTTTAGACGATAATTTATGACGAATTTGGTATTAAGAACAACTACCTATGGTTAACTCAACAATATACAAACACCATTTTTTGTTGTTTTTAAGTTTTATACAGTAAATGTATAACAATTTAAATAAATAATTGAAACTGTTAACCGTTAACAGAACAATTAAACCTTATACTAATATGCCATATTATATTTTGATATTCTGATGCCGACGAGAATATGTTGAATTGAGGGGAAAAAATAATTTGCATAATTTACATATTAATATGTTATTATTATCTGCTCTAGACTCTAATACTCTATGCCAGGAGAGAACCAAAGATATTAAACTTAAACATACAAATTTTAATTTAAAATATAAAAACCTATGTGATTCACTTCTTACTTTAAAAGTTGATACTAGGCAGTAACTCCGCAGTCCACAGATATCAGCTGTGGTTCACTTCTTCATAGAGCACAGACACGGACTAAGATCTTAGTTTGTGGGCACAGATAATTATAAATATTGAATTTCTGTGGACTTTACTAGTTCACTCAAACTATTTATAGTTGTAACACAGATCAAACTATTATGATAGTTTGTATCAAACAATAATTTTTCCATGACAAATTTATAAAATACATTTTGTCACGAATGTCAATAATATGATGTTTTATCATGAGTAACTATAGTAATAATAGTTAAGTTTTATGTGGTGTTCCGCGTTGCCCCGCCATTTTATATTTTGATCCAAAGGCCAAACCATAGAGTAAGATCTATGGGCCAAACTAAAGCACGATTTAAGATAGTACTACTGTCTACTACTACTATCTTAAAATACTGTACGAGCTGGTGTATTGATACATATGTCATAGGTGTTAATACACCTTGACCTTATAAAACACCTATAAACGACATCTAAAAACATTAAACGCACGACGCACCTATAGACACAGCGTTCTTAAATCATGATCCAAACTTCCAAACTCCAAACCCAGAATGTATTATCTTACGACTTACGAGTGAATGAGTGATATGAAAAACTTTTTACTATCAATATAAACCACGGACTAATATACATAAACGGAGGGAGATATAAACGGAGAGCATTGCGTGCCCCGAATTCATGGAGGAAAATATAAGTGGTTATACGGTGGCAAGATATTATAGAAATTCGCTAGACTAAACCGGTGTGAAAAATAATGCACCGGGATGTTTGGACCATATCGTTTACATGGTTAATTATCCCGGTGACGGGTGAGGGATAATGTGGGATAATTTTAAATCGGTTTAGTCTAGCGAATTTCTGAATAATGTCCGTGTACGGTGGTTACCCTATAGAGCAGGCCGCCAGGCCGGGTCGGCAAGCCCGAAGCAATTCTTGTTGGCCCGCACAAAGGTGGTTAATTTTTGTGTTTTATTTTTGTTCAATACAATTTTTCATAAAATGTTCAGTATTATACAATTCAATTTTGTTTACAAATAAAATCTAATCTAATCGTTAATAGTTGATGTTTATTCTATATTGTTATATTCTGTGGTTATATAGTCAGTTTAATCCATAAAATTGTTATTATTAGATATCTAATCGGAGTCGAAGATAATGATGGCTGCACGCCTGCACTACTCAGTCATAGTTACTTTACGTTTATAACGATTAGTATTATTCTATGGTATTACACTATTACACCGTAGTATTACATCGACAATTTAACTAATGAACTGCAGGCACAGAAATATCATTAATTACAAATTTACAATTTTTTATTCAGTTAGATTTTTTCTTAAAAGCAATTTTTTCCAGTAACAACATTTTTTTTTAATGTGGCTCTTGATGAACATTTGAAAAAAAATATGGCCCTCGTGGTTCAAAAGCTTGTCAACCTCTGCCATAGAGTAATATCACAGAATAGATGAAATTTCATATTATACTATGGATGTAGCCACAGCGTATTAAATAAATACAAAAAAACGTTGCCGAAATCATCGACGAATTAGCGGCTCAATATGCGCATGTGTAACGTGACCTCTCGCATATTTATCTACAGAATAGAAATAGAATAGAATAGAATAGAATAGAAATAGAATAGAATCTACCTATAGGCTATAATTGTACCTATGGATAATTATGCAAAGAGTTGTATCGCACTTGTGCACATCAATCACATTTTTTTTTTAGAAGTTGGGTAAATTCTGATTCAATCAACAGGTTGAGCATAAAAATATCAATATTCGATAAAAAAAATTCCACAAAATGTAAATTCTTAGTATTTTAAACTCAAAAACATGATTTTTCCAAACATTTTTGAAATTTTTCGACTATAAAATATAAATTACAAATTCAGTTTGAGCGATTATAAAGTCTATGAGTAGAAGCTTCGATCATAATATTATAAACTAATATATGGTCGAAGGGTAGAAGGTACCACGGGGCACGGACCATCTTAGTCCGTGAAGGTACCGAGGCAATTGCGCCGTCACCCGCCCATCGAATCGCGGAAAAAAAGCCCACGGAAAAAAAGCCCAAGGAAAAAAAGCCCAGAAAAAAAAGCCCACGGAAAAAAAGCCCAAAAAAAAAAATACACTGAGGAAAAAAAGCCCACGGAAAAAAAGCCCAGAAATATAAACCAGCTTTCGATCGTTCCTTCATCGCACACAAAGCTTTTTCTATCTTAACACTGTCATCATCTTTCAAATGACTATGTCCTGTTTTTACTTCTGGGTTCTCCATTTTGAGATCGGTGTATAATTCTCCAGTACATTTCACTGAACACCTCTGAGAACTGAGAACACCTCCAGGTTATTTTTGATACGCCAATATACTTTACAACATATACATAACCTTTGTAAAAACCTTTGTTACCACCTTTATTTGATTTGATAATCTCCATATTCACAAAAATTGGTAAAACAAAAGTATAAAATATATAACAAATGTATAACTGGATAAAACTGTACTAGTAGGACGTGTAGATAGTATCTCAATAACCAAGTAATGGAGTACTATATGGAGTGTCAATATTACCCAGTTATTGATAAATTTTAACATTTTGACTGGTTATATATATAAATTATATTGGTAAGTACCGAACAATATAAATTAAATTAAATGTAAAAGTGCTTATCAATAGTTGGGTAATAAAAATGCAATTTATTGACAGGTGGTTCATCAGTTCATGGCAGTATCAAACCCTCTATATCAGTGGCGTATTTACGGGGGGGTCCCCGGGTCTGGACCCCCCCAGAAAAAAATATAATTTAATATAATTATTACATCGTAACTCGTATGTGTTTTTTTTATATTATAAACTTGTAGGTACCTAATATTTAGACCCCCCCCCCACAAAAAATTTCAAAATACGCCACTGCTCTATATAATAATATACCTTAATAATATTTCTTAAATTAAAATACATTAAAAATTTTTAATAGTTATATATTATGTATTTATGTATAAGTCATATTTGAAATTTTAATATTTTCTTTTATAAAATTACCTATATATGCCTCTTATACAATTATTTATGATTATTATCTGTTATAGTATAGTAATGTATTATTAATATATTATTATATTTTGTTCACATTTATATTTATATTTTTGGGCTTTTTTTCCGTGGGCTTTTTTTCCTCGGTGTATTTTTTTTTTTGGGCTTTTTTTCCGTGGGCTTTTTTTTCTGGGCTTTTTTTCCTTGGGCTTTTTTTCCGTGGGCTTTTTTTCCGCCTACCCCGCCCATCATATCGTTTCCAGTTCTCTCTATGTCAGTCCGTGACCGAATCAGCTGATCGAGTTTCGAATTGTTCTATGGCTGTATACACATAATAGAATTCTATTATATATCTTTAATCGTGCTATGGGATGTAATGCTGTATTTTGTTTTCATATTCTGTGTTTAGGTTAGGTTTATATTCTGTGCCTCTGTGGTAGCTGTAATGCTGTATGGCGTATGCCTGTAGTATTCTGTTTTCATACTCTGTAGTTTAAGTTTTCAATTGCATCAGTCTTAAGCAAACTTAGCGAAAGTACAAAAACGTCAGTGGAAAAAAATTAAATCTCAATTTCTACTAAAATAGTGGACGCCGGTGCAGTTTTGGTTAAAAAATGTAATACAAACAAATTCCTTGTTTACTCGAATAAATACCTATTTATAATAAACTATTTTTACTTAGATTTGTTGAGAAATCAATCAAGATGCCACCAAGTACAAGTATCAAAGGATTTGATCCAAAAATGTGGGCTATAGTATTGCATCAAATGCAAAAAGCTGACGTTAGCAGGAAAGACGATATTATTACTATGGTTGCAGCGTATATTGAAAGAGGAAACACTGTTTCAAAAATGAATAAGAATTCTTTACCTTCTTTCGCAAGTACTATACAACGATTGATCGCAGTTTATAACTTGGTTGATAAAGATGGATCAAATCCAATGGCTCTTACTTTGTCTAGAGTGGCAGAGTGTTTTCCAAAATTAGCATGTAGTTATTGTATGTCAGGAGCTAAGAACTTAACAGTTTCAATTGATGAAATGCATTCTGTTTGTGAGGGCTATCCAAAATTTATGATGTGCCAAGCTTTTACTGCGTTAATACCAAAAGAAGGAGAATATACACAGACATTATTAAAAGCCCATGCGCTATTCTTGTACCGTTTTTCTTTAAAAATTACAAGCTATTCAATGAAAAAGAAATCAGTTGAGAAAACGGTTCAAGATGCGTGGAAATATATGAAAATAGTGCATGAACGCTCATATATGGAGGACAGTCAGAAAATAGATACTTTAGAAAAAGTAAAGATATTGGGAATAAATGGTTTACAAGATAGTGTAAAAAAAGCAGCTAAAATTTTTGATGACAAGTATCAAAAATACCTCCAAAACGATCCTGATTCAGAATATGCAACTTTTTCAAAGTTGGTGCTTTTAGAATTAGGAAAGTTGAATTTTTAATATATGATTATAATTTTACATTTATATTTTATTTTGTTTAATATTATTTTGTTCTTAAAAGAGTGATTTACTTGAAGGTTGTTATGTGGCATGAAAATAAAAGTAAAATAGTAGACTGTCTTGCTGAATATTGATCAATAAAATCTATTGCTAATATAATACCTATTACGTCTTGTGTTTATATTATAAATATTATTCTTTAATTGCATTATTATTTTTGTTTAAATTGATCATAGGAATATTTTTTTGAAATCAACTTTTTGACATATTTTATTTTATGTTTACCTTGTGAAATATAAAGAAGGCCTAATTTTATTGATATTTTAACATAAAATATCAAATTTTTTTTAGAAATAGTATTTGAACAATCAATATTTATTATAACGTATACAAAAATTAATAATAATACATTTTAACAATAATTTTTAAGTAAATTTTTAAGTAAAAAAAAAATCAGAAAAATGAAATTGTCAAAGCATAGATAATTAAGTGACAAATTCAATCTGCTTTTAAAATTAATATCAGAAAATTATATTGTGAGTAGTGATTGAAGTCATGAGATATGTTTTGGACCGAAAATTAATCACGCTCCAGAGCGGATCTATCTTAAGATAGATAATCTAAATAAGTATTTAATTTTACTACAATTTGTATGTTTTGTGGATTTAGAATTTAGATGTAATACTATACCTATTATAAATAATATGATTGTACTAATCTTCCGCTGTAGGTTGAATTAAGTAAAAACGACAAACTTGGTATAACTTTGATACTTAAGAGTTAAATTATACACTTGCGTACAAACCACACGGGTTCTGCGATATACCGCAGGTAGATTACCTACCTGATAATATACTGCTGGGAATCTCATGGACAATGCTGGTTGGTATGGCTATACATTAAAACATAATATTATTTACACTTAAAAATACATTGTTTCCACAGTGTGTTACACTCAGAAGGAGTCGAACAGTCAGAATTTTTTTTACCAGGTGATTCAGCTAGTTTTATTAAGATAATGTAAAATAATGTAAAATAACATAATTAATGATAGTAAATTATATCACAAAATTGAATATTTTATAAACCATAAGTAGTTGGCATTATAGCATACCTATCTGGCTGTTTATACAATGGTTACAATATTAGTGTAATATAAGTTATGAACATCATTAGATCAAAATGCGTTACAACCTACAAGTACAACACTACAACAGCAACAAACAAAACTAAGTAAATTTATACGAGTTGTGACACTTTATATACTTTGTAATTAAATGAACGAATCATTATACAATTTTAATGGGGTGATTTGAGTCAATACCATAAATATTTCTTATTTATTTGTACAAACTTAACAGTGGATTCCACAATTGAATTGCATATTATACTAATAAAATAACTTACTAATTATTATAATTGTATGTACCTTGTACGTAGACATTTTTAAAAAATATTTATTTTGTACAATTACATTTCGTTAATATAGAGAAAAAGAACTATTTACTATCCTTCTAATTTGAGGTATTGTGTTTAAGTACCTAGGTAGGTGGGTAATCATTTGTGATTGGTATTTGCAAATTGAATACTGAATATGAGTTATATGCATATACATTATACTAATAGTCAGGTGTTGTGGTCTAGTAACAGAGGTTGTAATTACATATACAGATATAATAACAATTATTGTAAAATTAAAAAATTCTAGTAGGCATGTTTAGTGTACGTTGACACGTTGTATACCAAGATCACCGTACTCAAGTCTGACCGCTGTTACTACAGTCATGCTCCGTCTAGTAGTATAATGTTTATGCTTGTAAAAGTAATTGTTATTCTTTATATCTTTAATTTCTTTAATTAAATATTAGTGCAATGAAACTATTTTAATTAGTACCAGATGATGATAATGTTATTTACATATATTATTAATTATATATTTATTGTTGTTCTCTCTATTTGATGTTAAAATAATATACTTTGTAAAGTCTTTTTTTATTTTATCAATGAAAGTTTAACATTTTTAAAAACACATGTGTTGATCATAATCACCCCATTTATGGTATGCTCAAAGCTGGGCAAGTTAGTAATTTATTTCAACTAGTTGAAGTTAAGTTACTTTAAAAAAAAAAACTAACTAAGTTAGAAATTAGAATATAAGTTAGTTTCTGAAACTTTCCAAATTTCTAACTTAGTTAGTTAGAAGATAGTTTGGTGAAAATGGTAACTGTAGTTAGAGTAGAATTTAGAAGTTAGTTTTTTTTTTATAGATTAAAAATCCTCTTTGTTGAAATGTAAATAATACGATATCTAACTTAAATTATTGATTAAAACTGAAAAATTAATTAAACCCCTAGTAATTTGATTAAAATGTTCTAATTAGGTAAGAATTAATTTCAATTAATTGGTATATCACTTATCAGTTATTAGAACATAAAGGGTGAAACATAATAAAAAAAGCGGCCAATTGCTAGCCGGGTCGAGCACGAAGGGTTCCGTTTCATCATCTATAAACATGTTGGCAACAACACTTCTTATATTATATATTCTAGGAATTTTAGTATTTGTTGTTATAGTGGCAACAGAAATACACGAACTGTGTGAAAATTTCAATTTTCTAACTTTTATGGTTCGTGAAATACTGCCTGATGACAGACAGACGGACAGCGGAGCCTTAGTAATAGGGCCCGGTTTTACCGTACGGAACCCTAAAAAATATATTATAACAGTTTTTAAGTAACTTTTTTTTGGGTATGCTTTTATAATAAATTATATCAGAAGAAGATATATCAAGGTTCAAAGCCACATCTGTCGTGTTTCGTACAAAATTGAACACGGCCCAACTCTGGACATTTCTTGGTAGATCATGGCAAATGAATGGTACTGAATAAAACAGCCAATACAAATATCATGTTAAAAGCTTGAAGCCGCTGGACATACAGGCCACATAGCAGTGGTGAACCTAACTTTACGTTCACCAGTAAATTGTTTATTAGTAATTACCATAGAAATATAGAATAGGTGATATTATAGATTTAATTTATTTGTGTCATAAACATGAACTACTACTATGTCAAACATCATTGTCAATTGTCATATCATAAACAAATCTATTTATGAATGTAATTTTCATCACTTTAATCAGAATATAAAATAAACCAAAACTAACTACTGCTACTATATTATTAAAAAATATTATAAAATAGTAATATGATTAAGTCTATTATAATTATTGAGTGGTGTTAAGACCTACTCTTAGTGTCTTGGCCTTTCCTAGCAATCTAACAAAACCCTCTGATAATCTTTTGATAAAGTCAGCACACCTAATATCACTGATATAAGATATATCACTCTGTGAAGAATGAAGTGGTCAACAATGTGGTGGGTTGGTTTTAGAATGATTCAAGACTTATTATATAACTATGTGTAACTATTACTATTCTGTTAACGGTATAAATGCAAGAAAAATAATAATTTACAAAAATTGTACAGCTTGTTTTATTAATTTAAATAAACAAAAACGTTTTAATCAAACATTTACTACAAAAACTAAAATTGGAAAAATAACTGTAACAATATAAAATATACCATTAAAAAACTAACCATTAGATCATGTATATTGATTTTGTTATATTCTATGTTAATTGGTTCTAAAATGTGGTGGCCTATGAACAACTACAGCATCATAAATTGGGTCAGTTAAAAATGTTTCTCTTTTTGACCAGGTATTAGTGTTTGGGTAGTACATTTCTACAGAACCCACCATATAGGAATCTGTGTCTCCACCAATAACATACAATAAACCAACTAATAAAATTACTACTATATATATATATATAAAAAAAAAAAATTAATTCAATACAAATTTTACAGACTTCCTTAAAAAAATAATTATTTTAGTTTCCTACCAGGATTGGCAGGCATCCATATCAGCAATAGTAGACCAAACTCCATCACTTTGGCTAAAGACCTCGACGCTATTGACGAATTCTGATTCTGTATAACCACCAATAACATACATAACACCGTCCAATATTCCTATACCAAATCCACAGTGGCATACCGACATATCTGCAACTTGTGTCCATGTGTCAAGACTGGGATCATAACATTCCACAGATTTTAATGTTGATGAATCATTATTACCTCCAACCTATACAATTTAATTAAATGAAATGTATTACAAATTTAAAATAAAAAAATAATATAATTATTCACTGCGTATAAACGATTATTGAGTATTAAGCACAGAAATTACTTCTTGAAATTGTCATACTATTCACCAATCTTCATTTTTGAATACCGACATCAAATACCTCTACAGTCTACACTATTTAATGCACTGGTGCCGTCATATCCACAAACCTAGAATTACAAAATAGTATATATTTATGTAGTAGAATAAAATCAAGTAAAAAGGGGGAGGTAAATTAAAATGTTAGAATGGAAATACAATTGGGGTATATTTGTAAATGATTTTACTATTTTTACTCCACTACAAGATATTATGGTTTGTAATCGCTAATGAAATTTCGTTTTGACTTAGATGCTAATAAGAATGGTCTCACTTACCTTGACTGGTATAGCGATGCACTAGTCGGTCTGGATGTCTTTGAAGTTGTTTTATTGCTATTCGTGGTTCGATGAATGTTATTATTACAATGATTCACTTCTACTTCTACAATTGCACGTCTGATCTTTATGAGATTTGAAGTTCGTATATTAATATTGTTTTATAGTATTACACTAAGAATTAAGATCTTTATACATGAAACCTTTTTCTATTTTAATCCATTGAGTCTTACTCAATACTTTAGGGTATATTTGTAATAATTTATTTTTTGTGTGATATACATAATATCTCAATGTTTGATGTTTGATATCAGGTATGTGTCTATTTTTACAATATATTTATAATACAATATTTCAAAGGACCCATCCGAATAGTTATTCTATCGAATACTAGCAGGCGTCTTTTTTTATCCTATTAACGTTTGTATTATAACTATATTGTAAATTGGACACACAGGATATATGGAGTTTTGAATCGTTACCTTTCGAGGATTTAGAGTGAAAAAATACTGTGTATATCGTAAAAAAAATTTGATGTAGGTAAATAAGAAGATGATATGATTTGTTTAAATTATCGTAAAATATGAATTTAGAACCAATAAGATCATACGTGGTGCATTAATGTAATATTTAAATTCGGTTTTTGAATAAATAATGGCAAAACGACAGAAAGTTACTTGTTTGGAAAAAAATTAGAGCGAAAATTTGCGTGTGTCTTCGAAGTTGAATGGCGTTGGTCTTGCGTACTGGTCCGCTTCTGAAGATGCACCAGAGGGTGCAGAAGCATAGTGTCCGTAGAGGTACACTATGCCCTACTTGTGGACATGGACGGCCCTCGAGATAGACTGGGCATCGGGCGTGTAGAGCGCTGAGTCGTTTATATATAACCGATTCCGTCCCCCTCTTAGATTACTGGTGCGCGGCGTTCAGCGTGCTGGCCGCCTGGTCCTGTGTTTTAGGCATTGGTATGCGTCTTTCGCGATCGCAAAGAAACTTGCGTAATGCGTATTGAGTATTGACTATTGCTGAATGATTATTATTGTATATCATTATTGAGGCAAGCACACATTGTTTGTGCTTGTCATTTATTCTGATAGCTTTACAACTTTTATTTTTGATGGTTTGTTTATTGATGAGTGTTTGCTTCTGACGATTCATTGGTTGGCATAAGAATGTTAGATTTGGACGATTTGGTGTGAATTCTTTTAGGTACCGCTAGAAGTGAGACGTGTAGGGTGGTTGTAATTAATAAGTTAGCATTTTAAGTTTTGAATCGATTGCTTCTTTTTACTGTTGGTATCAGTGTTGCGTCTTGTGTGGCTATAGGTGCTTATAAAAAAAAAAATAGTTTGGAATGTGCAATTATTTTAATGGTATTGTTGTTGTAGACGATTGTGTAATGTGGTGCATATTTATATTATTTCTTTGATATTTGCGGTGATGTGGGTGCATAGTGTAATCAGTTTTTTACTCTGTTATTGGAGAATATATGGCTGCTGATTTCATTATTCGGTGTTTCGCTGAATGCCCGGTACCATCATCGTTGTTCTTTGTATATTTGATTTTGGCTGGTTTAATAATTCTCTTAGTCTGATAGTATTGTATGTTTCGATACGTGGGCATAATTGCGTTAATTGCAGTGCATATGAATAGTTATGATTTTCATGATTCATAACTTATGAATAAATGATATTTATATATTGCGTTCTGATAATCTGCGTCCGTATATGATTATTATTTTTGGGTGTTGTCTTTTGAATTGGCTGTGAGATTCTGCGGTATGATGCAATCGCATTACTTCTGGTAGGTCTGAATTGATTTTGTATATTAATTTTGATATTAAATTAAGTAAATAATTTACAGTTTTTTTTTTTTTTTTTTTTTTTCATTTTTTTTTTTTTTTATTGAACAAACATAATATATTTACAATCTGTATTTACATGTGATACAATAAGTAAATGTGATGATTTTTGGTTAACAGGAGGGGGAAGTCACCCAGTGGCGGCACCCCGCAATTTACAGTTTACTCCCGATTATCCGTGGAATAGGGTGGCAGGACATCCACGGATAAACGAATTTCGCAGATAATCCGCAAAATTAAATTTTGTAATAAAAACTAAATTGAAAATTATTATTACAAATGTATTATTAAAAAGGTGGGTAAGTGGATGTCGCTCTGCTGTACTGTAGGTTACAAGTGGGTTTTTTTTTCAAACCACTCTTTAAATATTTCTTGATTCATCCAGGCTTTTTTTTGGTTAAAGTAGTGTACTGGGAGGTTTTCAGCTCTAGTCCCTTTAAAAGATCTCGTTTTTTTTTGATTTACCAATCACTACAAGTTTTAATTTTTGAGAACCTGTTGCATTGCTGCACGTCATTATGGTTAGGCGTTCTTTACTGATTTTATGTCCTGGGGCGTGCCGCTCACTTTCAAATGCAAGTGTTCGTGTTGGCAAACATTTCCAGAACAGTCCCGACTCATCAGCGCTATACAATTGTTCATATGATATTTTCTCTTTTTGAAGAAACTGTTCAAATTTAATTTTGAAATCTTCCGCTGCCTGTTCATCGCAACTTAATTTATCGCCGTGAATTCCAATTTCTCTTATTCCGTGGCGTTTTTTAAACCTTTTCAACCACCCTGATGACGCGTCAAATTTCCCTTCTAAACCTAACATTTCAAAAAACTGTAATGCTTTTGCAGAAACGGCTACAACTAGTTTACGCACATTTTAAAATTTCCCTGCTTAAACCTGTAACTCGTTTGCGCACAACATATTGTAGAAGGAACCACTCGATTGCGCACATATTTTGTACATAATATTATTATATACGTTAATATTATATTGGTTTTTAGCGCAGATAATGGTCTGTAATCGGCAATATTACTTCGATAAACTTTATCAGTATTTATGACCCATCAATAAACTGGTATTATCGTTTTGAAATCGCAAACACAAGTTTTTAGTTTTAGTTTCGACAATTATCTCGTACAGCGCTTACAGAAATATGGATTACGAAATAACAAATATATAGGTATTATACGCGTCGCGGTAAAATGTGTGTTTCTATTAACAATTTTAAGTTTTCGAAGTACAGAAAATTAAAATGTGGGAATTTTTCATTTCGATGTACCAATAAAAAATGTAAGGCAATTGCTACATTAAATCCTCAGTGTACAAGTATTATTAATCATAAAAACGAAAACCGCTTCCAAGGTAAACCTTTGAAATAAGTAGGTACCTAATTAAAATAAATGGTGACAGGAGATTGGATATTACAGAGAAAAATTTTATGTTTCAGTATTTTTACCATTAGTTGATACTTCTTTATATCAACTCGAAGATCGTTTTAAAGGACTTAAAATAGTATCAAATACTTTTAATTTTTTATTGCCACCAAATATAATAAAATTAAATGAAGCAGAAATAGTAAAATCATGCTATGATTTTATTCAGTTTTACAAAACTGACGTAACTTCCGATTTAACTAGTCAAGTTCTATCTTTAAAGGAGTTTATAAAAAACACTGATATGAAAACAATTAAAGAATTATGTTTATATTTAATAGAAAACGACCTATCATCTTTGTATAGTGAAGTTGTTACATCTTGTATTATATTTTTAAGTTTACCAGTGATTGTTGCTACGGCCGAACGATCATTTTCTAAACTTAAATTGATTAAAAACTATTTAAGAAACTCGATATCTCAAGACCAATTAACCAACATAAGTATCTTAAATATAGAAAGAGCTCGCACTGAAGAACTTGATGTAGAAAAATTAATTTGCCAATCAAAAAAGCAGAAAAAAAAATTTTTTAAAGTAATTTTAATATTATAAATATGTAATTTTTTTTTATAATTTTAAATGTATTTACTATTTTGTATAATAGTGTAAATAAGCAAATATATGTATTATGTATAATAATATGTAAACATATGAAAAACATAAATATTTAATTTTTTTATTATAATTTTAAACGTACCTATATCAACCATTTTTATCTAGTGTAAATTTGTATATTTTTCGTTAAAAAGAAATTTAAATGGTGATGGATACTTAACGTTTACAAATATATTTTTCATGAAAATATTTCGTAAAATTTTGGAAAGTAAGGGGCCCTATTATTTGGTTTGGCACCCCGGCCCTAATAACCTTAGTTGCAGCACTGGCTATGACAAATTCACAACCCAATTAAACCTATAATGATTTATAATGGAAAGATACAATACGTATATATTTTTTGTATGCATATAGGTATGTAGACGATTCCGTGGAAGACAGCGGATAATCGATAGTAAACTGTATTTTATAATTTTAAATTACGTTTTATATTTTTATACACCAGTGTATAATCGTTATTGGTTCCAAATCATTTTATGTGTTTATTAATGTAGAAGGTAGATATATAATATATTACATTTATAATATAAAATAAGTATAATACCAATATAACTTACTGCAAGTATACAATCATCTAATAAGCCGACTCCTAAATGATGTCTATACTGACTAACATGTCAACCATTGGCACCCAGCAGGGTACCTAATTGTAAAGATACATCAAGCATACTAACATATCGAGAACTTGATTGATTCACCCCTCCCACAACAATTACAAATTGATCTTGTATGACCCCTACACCAGCTGTCATACGGCCAGGGGCGTACTCAGGAACTTTCAATGGGGGGGTTGAACATTTTGTTTTTTATCACGGGGACTTTGTCACCTCCTTTTTAAAAATATTAAATATAAACATGGTAATGTACTCTACAGAAAATAAATTTTAAAAATGAAAAATTTTTATTTAAAGAACAATATTCCGATTCCGATTGATTAACGTGTTCATGTTTTCTTTTAAGATTATTGTAGGGTTCAATGTACTTAGAACTTCCAGGCACACTAGTAAAAAATGTTATTATTTTATTTTTATTTTTATTTTTTGACTTTAAGCGTTTATGGAAAAATAATAAGTACTTAAATTTTAATACTATCATTAATATTTTTCAAAAGTATATTAAATTACTATACATTTTAATAATTAATCTGTGTGAAATAGTACAAGTAATTTTAGTATATACCTAATTTAGAAAAAACAATTAATAATTTTGATTAAGGGGGCCTTGACAGTTTTACATTAAATTTAGGGAGCCTCACGACAAAAAAAAATTGAGAAATACTGTACTAGATTATAGTGTAAAATATCTAAATATAATAAATATAACTAGCTGTCCCGGTAAAAGATCATGTTTTTAATGTTGCATTTCAATTTGAAAACTACATATACATTTTTCACTGTTTATTTTTCTAACATAATTTATATTTATTGAAGAAATATATAAACAAATTTTTTGACAAAGGTTGGTTGCTCAATACACAGTCAAATATTAACCAAATATATCATAACGCATTATGTCAAAACAAGAATGATATTCACTTACAAAAGAAAAAAATGAGCAAGGTGCTAAAAACAAGAAAACACCAAAAAAACTAAACAATTTTTCAAAATTAGTTTGAAGTTTATAAGATAACTATTATTGAATAATATTATAATATAAATAATATACCTAATCATAAAATAAAATATGCAAAATATTTTAAACATGTTTTTAGTTTTTTATGAGCACTAGAAAATAATACTCCACTCTACCAGACTACTATTAGAATTAGGAGTAGAATCATAATAGTTTTAATTTAATTTAAAGATTTTAAGAAGGATGCAAATATCCAAAGAAGTGACTAAATTATACATAATATTTTTTTCTAATTGATGTCTACTCGATAAAAATATTGCCAATGAATAAAATGCAAATGTAATGTATAATTACAGGCTCCAAATTTATTATAACAACTCAACTAAAAAAAAAAAACTTTTTATGATTCAATGTTTTTGTAAATACTGACTTCAATTTTAAAAAATATTAGCATTTTAATTCTGAAGTTTTAAGACATTTTGCATTTAACAGAATGAATATACAGGCCTTCGTAGGACAAGAAGCGCGCTCTGGTGACTATAGAACTGTGGTAATATTTTCAATCAAGAGTGTATACGTATAGGGGTCCAGAGTGGGTACAGGGTAGTTGTCAGAAAAATGATAAGAATGTTTAACCACGATTTATACCAGTGATCCAGCAGTGACGCCAACGTAAACAAAAATCATCGCAATAATAATTACAGTCGACATATAGACAACACTGGTGGTTAATACTACTGTAGTTGTTTTTCTCTATGTTGTTGTTACTTGTTCATCTAAAAAAATAAATGTATAGGTTGAGTATCTATGTCGGAGGGTTATATATGTAATTGTCACACATATATAATATTATATATATATATATATTTTAGTTATATATCTGTGGTAGGTAATTGTATACCTAAGTAAAAAACAAATAATTAAACTTACAATTCTTTATTTTTGAATATTTAAGGTCAGATACGATTCCTAGAAAACCAACATAACTTGGAATTCAAACAAGTCTCTCAAAACTTGAATGTAAATAACATAGAGTCAACATATTTTTGAGGAACAGTTAAAATAATTGTTGTTTTTTTCAGATCCGTTCTGGTAATTCGTCAAGAGCAAGAATTAGGAATAGAAATACTTCTGAAATTAGACGGTTTATGCAAGACATGATAGAGGATGATGCTCCTGATCGCATACTAACTTTTTTAAGAAGGACAGGTCATCAGGTTGATGGTTACATAACCCAACAAATTGGCCCATATCCGGGTAATAAGAATGTTCTATTAATTATTAAAAAAATTATTATTTATTAGTAAATCTAAATCATAACTATAACTAGAGACCGTTTGCCCATATTGGGTTCAAATTTGAATATTTAATAAAAATCTAATAGATAATAAAAAAGAATTTTATTTAATTTAAAAATTATATTTTTCAGATGAACAAGAATTGCTACTACAAGAAGCAAATAATTCACAAATCATTAATTAAATTTTATTTTATTAACTTTTTTTAAACCTAATCAATGACAATTTTAAACATTTTAACAATTTAACAATTTTAAACAACAATTTTAAACCTGTGATTTTTATATGTGTGCACATTTTTTGCAGCCTTGTAAAGTACTTGAGTAAAATTACTCAAATACTTAGTTTATATATTATATCTTCTATTTTAATTATACTCAACCAAAATAACAAAGGTGGGCATTAACTTGTTAAAAAGTTAAGTTAAAATGTTAATTTTTTTAAATTTTTTAACTAGTTAATTCATTGTCAGTTAATGACAGTTGACAGTTAATCATTGTCATGCAGTTAAGTTAATTTTCTTTTCGTGTCATGCGTAATCAACTAGACAATACTGATTCGTTGACACTTTTTCGATTTTGGTAATTAATTTTCAAATTATATTTTTACACAGTGTAAAAGGCTTGGTAAATGTTTGTGTACAACAAAGTACTAGGGCATATGACTTAAAAAACTTGAAAAAAAATTAACTTTAACTTTAACTGAGTTAAGTTAATTTTATTTTCTATTTTTACTTTAAACTTATCAAGTATTTTTTTTTTTTTTTTGTTTTTAAATAATATTGTACTAATAAACCTAATACTTTGTAGTTTAGTAATTAGTAGCATTTTGTACTTACCTACTCCTACATAATTACAGAAATACATAATGGTGAATGGTCATACCTCATAAGTCAAAATATTCATTAGTCATTATTCACGTGGTCTTCTTTTCACCAAAATTATTTTGTGATGGTCAAAGGCTTTGAAAAACAGCATACGTCGGACCACACAAATTCTTTTTAATCTTACAAGGTTGGCAACACCCTTGTTGTCGTATAACCATAATATCTAACCGCCGGGTTACCATTCTTATCATTTTTCTGACAACTACCATTCTCCGGTAATCGTTGTATAATGAATGTTGATATATAAAATTGAAAATAAATATATTTGTTTATTTTTTCCCTTCTTAAAAATTTTTTTTTAGAAAATTGCTCCTGTGAATTATATTATGTATAAACAAGAACGCACAAAAGTGCATCGGTTAGTAAGGTCATGGGAGGGGTTCAAACCCCACGAACCCCCCCCCCCCCCCCCCCTTGAGTACGCCCCTGCATACGGCTATCATTCATTCCAGGTGCATTCTCTCGTAGGTTTGTTGATGGGTCATACCATTCTGTATAACACTTTGGCAATGTATTTGATTGACTGAACATTAGAATTACCTGATAAAATTAAATGAATAAAATAATTGAGAAGATGCATTAATCAAAACAAAATAATTTTTTGTGCATTATCAACAAACTGTCTAGGTTTACACCGAATCGATAGTGGAATTATGAAAAGCTGAACTGATTTAAGAAGGTTAAAATCTAATGCTTCAAATACATAATCTTTACCTAAAAACATTTAAAAAAAAAAAAAGAAATTTTAATGAAAATAACATACATTTAGGACTATTTTTTAGAAGAGGTTCTTTAATTACTTTTTGTAATATGTATTGTGTTGATGCCAATGGCGTACACGTTCCATTAATTTTTTCAAAAAATCTTTTCTACAGATCAATTCATGTTTTACCCAATTGATAACACATAATGGTTTAAAATTATTCCAATAATAATATCATATACAAATCTATAGTATGGCATTTACTTACATAATAATAGCGCAAAATAATGATAATTGAGTAGGTAACTCTCAAAGTGCTTTGATAATTACGTATAATTATAACGGACCAACTGTTGATATTATGTTTATATTGGTAATTATTTCACAAACTTAAATGTTGCACGCATATGAACTTCATATAATAATAATTTACTTAAACAATAATTTTTAACTGTGTAGCATAATTATTATAGTTAATAGCGGTACAGAAATTATTTTTCAAATAGCAATCAATACAACATTTTTGGTAGGTATTGCATTATATTTAAATAAGTTAATTTTAAAATACTTAAACAGTGTATATCTTTAAACTCTGTCAATCAGTATACATTTTATTTAGACGACAAAGTTTAAGTCATAAGTTTAACTGAAATGTTATTTACGTGGCTATGTTTAATATTGATGTCATACAGTTTGTGCCAAGTAAGTTTTGATAAAAAAAATATTATTTTGGTCGAATATGGGCAATTGTAATAGAATTATATTCAAGAGGTGAACGAGTATAATGTATCTAATGGCTAATTGCTTGAAAAGTCATACCAATAATGTATTATTGTAGTGTTGCAAAAATAAACTGTTTATTGTGAATCATTATTGATTATAGGTATTTTAAAATATAAATATATGACAACGCACTGTTATTTTATACGTATCGCATAATGCACATTTTGGAAACCAAAATCTAATATTTGATTTAAAATTGGTAGGTACTGTTTAAGTTGTAATTATTTAATATATTGTTGAAAATCTTTGAACTTGATTCTTTAGGAAGTCTAAATGCCTGGATTTTCTTTTGTTACAGTATTTATTTAATAATAGTGCAATTTGATAACATTATAGCATTTTTTATAGCCACATATGGCATATATTACAAACTCATTAGAATGGTTCTATTATCCTGAGTATAAACATTTAATTAACTGAAAAAGTACTCGTTAAACTGTTGAATTAGTTAAATCAAAATAAAAAAAAAAATTAACCATTACATAATTTACTATAGAAAAGGGCAGTTTTTATTTAAAAAATAGAAGTTTGAAACTTTAAAGGAAGCTCTTTAAGTAGTACAAAGAATCTCAAGAATTTAAAAATCACATCTTTAAGTAGGTATATTTAAAAATTCCAAAAATCAGAGCAGGGCCTTGCACCCGAATTAACCAGAACCCCTAACACACCTAAAAATCAAACACTCAAAACCCATATTACTCGAATGATTCTGTTTTCAAGACACCTAAATTAACCAAAACCCGAATAAAACATTCTGGTTAACCCGAAACCCGAATAATTTTCTTTTTATAATCTTCATGTGATATATAATTTTGTATGTATATTTCTTATGGTGAGTTCGATTCTGTAGTTAGTCGATTAATAATAATAACAAATTAACAGGAACAATTTTACAATCAATCATAAGTATATTCGATACTTATTTTCTTAAAAATTAAATCCAATAGGTATAAATGTATAATCATTAAATTGATTCTGATTAAACCAAATCGCCTAATACTAAATTATTTCTTATACCTAATATATACATATTATATATTTATATATAATTTATTACTTCATTAGTTTATAAAATGAATTCAAATAATATAGTCAATAGCAATATAAATATATTTAATATAGACATGGTCTTAAACTCTCAACCACGAATTAAGATATACAGGATACGGAAAGAACTTCGCACATTCTCGCTTTTCGGCTAGACTACTAGTGCTTTATAGGATTGTTCTGTGTCAACCGGGAGAACAAGGAACTAAATGACAATAGTTCATTATTGTCCCAGTTAACACAGAACAATCCTATAAAGTTCTAGTTGTCAATTGTCATGCCAAACAGTGAGAAGCGAGCCGCGAGCGGACTCAGAAAAACATTAATAAAACCTTTCCGTTCCGTATCCTGTATTTCTTAATTCGTGGTCTCAAGTCTCAACAAAACTGAACAACGTATTTATCATAGATCATATACAATGGATGGAGCTACTTTAATCATTTGCTGTGTCCAACATAACCCCCCACTTATTAGTTATTTTATAGTAATTTTTGGCCCAACGCATGCGTAATAAAAGGGTTGTTCCATAAATTAAATGGGTGGTAAGGGGTTATGTTGGATACAGCTCGGTATATACGAGAAATACACACATAGCTCCATCCATTGTATATGATCTAAGGTATTTACAGTCATGACTAAAATACCAAATACTAATAATTATTAACTATATAATAAACATAGATTTAGATAGTATGGTACTTACATACATAACGAAAAGAGAAAAACTGTATGGTTGTATATGCAAACTGATAGATGGCGCTGCAGAATCCTAGGTAAAATCAGCTGATATCGGGAGGACATTTGTAGGACATAAACGTCCTGTAAAATGCATAGATAATATAAGAATGGATCACGGACTAACTTTTGGGGAAGAGAGAACGTAAAGAGAGAAAGACTATATGAGGCTTTTTAAGGTTATGTGCAAAACTATTTTATTAAATAATAATAATAATAACATGATAGTCAGTTATATTTAGATATTTGTCAGTTTGTATTTTGATTGTTGTGCCACCTGTGCCTGGAAAATGGAAATTCGAAAATAATATTTTAACAAAATGAAATTATATAAATTTTATTTATTATTATTTATCAATTATCATATCAATATTTGCCTTATATAACCTTAAAAATAGTATCACTAAATTTTCATGTGATAAGCTCTTATGCCACGGACACGATGTAGAGAAGATATCTTCTCTACATCGTGGCCACGGAGTAAGATATACAGGACTGGAAACGAGATAGTCATCTATGGAACTACAGTGTAACGCTTCTGGTACAAGTGCGATTTTAACGCCCTCTATGATCCATTCCTCGAAATATTAATACATCAGTGTCCAGCACGAATTAAGATTTTGGCATTTGAAATTGCTTCATTCCAAGCAGTTAAATTAACCACATCTTTTGGACTTTTAAATAAAGTGTATTTTTTTCCCTCTGAACATCCCGTACAGCCATCCACAGAGCATTTTCTCGGCATTTTAGCAAATAATAAATGGATAATATAGTTGGTAAAATGTAATGTACATTAAATACTAAATGCTAATACCTAAGAGCTAATAGGTGCGTATAAATCACGGACTAAGATAGAGTCACAATAGAGTTATCTTAGTTTATCTTATTCCGTGGTATAAATGTATTAAACTATTGTACCTAATTTTATTATAAACAGAAATAATATGCAAATAAATATATGTGTAACAAATGCTAAATATTATCAATAGATAGAGCCACATTTGTCCATGTACTACAAGCGTTACACTATGGTTCCGGCTACCCGCACTCCTCCCGTCTATCGTTTCCAGTCCTGTTTATCTTAGTCCGTGTCTTATGCCCTATCCATTCCACGGACTAGGATATACAGGACTGGAAACGAATGAGCTGGCGGAGTGCGGGGTCTGGGCCAAATGTACAACGGTTCCTTTCTGACGCCTGTACAACCGCGACTGCTCTGCCATCTATTGGCAACTATTATAAGCCTATAAATAATCCCTATGTTACTGTATGAAATAATGAAATATATAATAAACTTTAGACTTGTTATACACATCTTGTATCTAGTTTTGTTTCTTGAATGTGTATAATATATTTTATACTAAACAACTTAATCTAAGATATATTATACTTTATTTGTATGTATATGTTATTAAATTAAGTACAGAATAGGTACTGAGCAAGTATTGACCATACATTAAAGATTATTTTAGTCTATTCTGTGAATCCTATCTAAAATTCATTCTATGTTGTACTTTTTTATTACCAATATTTCAATAGTACATTACATTTATTTATTATTTAAGATAAATTACCAAAATGCCTAGGCGGTGTAGTGTAGATCAATGCCATATTTTGAAAAACAAAATTAAATGTACATTGTTCAAAGCACCAAAAGAAGTTAATATTTTAACAGCATGGAACGAAGCTGTCTCTAAAGCTAATGGTAAAAGTATGTTTAAATGTATGTTAAATTTTATATTTATGCAATTTATGATCTATTTTACAATCAAGTTACTATTAATTGTAGTCAGTATGTAACTTAGCAATTTGACATTTGTAGTGTTGTAAAGATAATTTTTAAAAGTGTTTAAAATGTTACTCAAACTACTCAAATATTTTTCATACTTAATATATACCTACTATTAAACCAAGAGAAGTGTTTAAGTATTAAAAACACTACAAAGTGCAAGTGAATCGATACTACCAAAATAAATTAAGAACTACTCATAAATTTAATTTATTGTTGTTATTTTTTTTATGCATACCTACACAAATATCTGCACAGTATTTGAATTTCGAAGTAAGTATAGGTACCTTTAGGTATGAACTTCAAAATAGAATATTAAATATTCACAACAATTATTGTTATTGCAAATCAAGTATTAACAGGTATGTCATACTATAGTTTTTAGTTATTACATTAATAAATTAAAACACTAAAATGCAAATATGTAAAAATAATATAATGTATTAACTCTAATATTCTGTGCTACTTGTAAGATGAAAGTTTTATTGAAATTTGCTCTCAATCTCATAAACTACTTGTCAATTAAGGTGCCTTATATTGTATATAGGTAATTTAACTATACAAGTACATTTTAGATCTTAATTCTTAACTCGATATTATAATACATTTTTTTTATATAGGTAGTAGGTAGTAGGCACTAGGCACCATAAATAATAATTACAATTTAATAATTTAACAATTAATTATTAAATTATTATGTAATGCACTTACGTACCTAGATGGCGTAAAGATCGACGTTGTACCAACTAGCGTTGTACTTTAGTTCCATTGATAACGCCGTCGTTTCCAGTCCTGTATATCCTAGTCCGTGGGTATAGGCATCATGAACTAAGATAATATTATCTTAGTTCATGGGTAAAATGTAATACATCGCACTGCAACTAGAGATGTGCAAAACGGGTCAATTAAACGATCCGGTTCATTCGGATCGGGTCTTCCAAAAGACCCGTTCGTGTGATTCGTTCAATATTATTCGTTCGTTTTTTCAGCAGTGGCAAGTCTAGGGTGGGGGTGCATAGGAACCAACATGACCCGTTCGTGTGATTCGTTCAATATACTGTATTGTTCAATGTACTCTAAATATAATGCATATTATTACTTTTCTATGATAATGCATAACTAAACTAATAATGTGTAATATTTATTCTTTATTATCACGATCGATTCGATTGTTATCACATTCAAGACGTACAGTGTAGGTATTCAGATGTAAAAAAACGAACGATATTTGGCGACCCGAATCAAGTCATTCGGCGATCCGGATCGGTCTCGTTCACTACTTTGACCCGTTCAATGTGATCCGTTCGTTCGCGAACAACACATCTCTAACTGCAACAGTGCAACGCAACCATACTATCTAAAGCCGTGCTAATAACTATATAATAAGTAATAATATCTATAATTAATACCTATATAGTATTATTTGCCAGCCAACTTCCCAAGCGGTATTATTATAATACATTATATAGTAACGAATATCGTAATACGTGGCAATATATTTTACCAGTTTTCCCGGTTTTCCGGAAATCCCAAAATAATAATTTATATTTTATTTTATTTCTCTATGCCTACCAATTTTAAATATTTTAGTTAACTTTTATCAGTCGACTTGACATGTGATAAATAAATACAGTGGAACCTCGATAAGTCGAAATTCAAGGGAAATGCAATTTTTTCGACTTATCAAGGTTTTCGACTTACTAAGGTTTTCGAGTTATCAAGGTTTTAGAAAAAAAATTCGACTTAAAGAGTTTTAAAAATGTATGTATGTATTAAAGTTTTTAATTATTATGTACTTAGTATATATGTATATACAATGTAAAAAAATGTGATTATACAGATTATTTAAATAAAAAAATTATTACAAAAAAATATAATAAAATATGTGTTGCAACTTTATAAAAGATAATTTATTATTTTACTTTGACTGAAAATTTGAGATTTACTATTATCAATTGCATCTATTACATTTAAAGCAGAGTACACTTTATCGTCCACATTACTCAATTGTTCGGTGAATGTCCTTAGCAATATGAGGGCTGCTGTTGCTTGCTTCATTGAAACAATGAAGATTAGATAAAATTATCGGAACGGACAAGCCGATTAGATAAATGTTTATAAAATTATCTGTCATTATCCGTCATATTTGGAGCACAGAATGTTCGAGTTATCTATAGTTTTTTTTTCGAGTAATCGAGGTTTTCGCAAGGGGATGGAATTTTTTTCGACTTATCAAGGTTTTCGACTTATCGAGGTTCCACTGTAGGTACCTACCTAATTAATTTCTCACTGTCTTAGTTCTTGTAGTTTATTAGAAAAACTGTACATTGTTAAGCCGAGTTATGTCTAAAATAAATGTTGCCAATTTGCGTCAGGAATTTATATTTTATTATAAATAACATATATATATATATAATAACATATAAATAACATGTTGGCGCCGACGTAACTCCTACGAGTATGGCGGTTAGCTACGACGACTCGCGTCGGTATGGAAGTGAGGTGACAATGATCTTATGATAGTAAAGGTTAACACACAATTTGATTGAATAATAAATAATAATAGTGTATAATATATATATCCGACTAATGATCAGTGATAACGTACATATAGGTAACTATTGCACAGAGTTGCGACCTTTAAAGACGTCTCTTTGTCGGTCAGCGAATAATAATTATAATCATAAAGAAAAAAAATATAATATGTCTTATGGACAATTATAACATTAACATACAACAGAATGATTACGATACCACGGCCGCGGCGGCGATGGCCATGATAGTCGTGGAGGAGACCAAGATAATGACAACGTCGGCGGCGGCGGGACAATGACCCCACGGCGGCGGCCACTTTTTCAAATTAACGGAAAAAGAGGTTTAAATCGTCGTATTATCGAGACGACCCGGTATACGCACTCAAATACGCAATTATGTGGGCATGAGTCACGATAGATGACGGATTTACAGCATCATGTTATAAATCCGTGAGAGGTGATTAAATCGAGCACGCGGTTTGCCAAAGTGAATTAAAAGATGTACAAGACGTGTACAACCGTACTCAACCCTTTGAATGGCGACCGAAAACACCACGACACTACCCACGCACAAGTATTGGTATATCACTTAAAACGAGAATATTGTGGACGCAACACGTGGAATAACCAAAAAATATGTACCGGCACGCACGAATATTGACGCTAAGCAACGGGCCGTTGTACATAGGCACCGTCCATGGCTAAATACACTGGTATGTTAGTATTTAGCCATGGGCACCGTCAGAACGTAAACAGACAGGCGGCAAGGAGACGACATCCGAGCCGTCCAGGTTGTGAGCATGGGGGGAGACGGAGTCTAAAGGTCGAGACTCGCCGTGCTATCGTGCGGTATCGCGCGCACCGGTGGTGAAATCCAGATCGGAAAAGGCGGCAGTTTAAATATAACATATATATTTATTATAAATACCCTAAATCAATTTTTTTTTAATTTTTTTTTTGGCTTGACAATTGCTTAAGAGGGATCTTCAAATTTATGTTTTTTCTAGATTACTAAACACCCGTATTAACCAATATATTAACCCGAATAATAACGGTTATTAATACGGTTTGTTTAAATTTTTTATTCTGGCATTTTAACTCCCGATTACATCCAGCACCGAAACCCGAAACCCGAAATCCGAATAAACGATTCAGCTGCTAAGCCCAGAATCAGAGTTTGAAAAAATTCAATAATAAATGAAAATAGGGGTGAGCATGATTGGTGAATCACTCTAAATATCATAATTGTACATGTAATTGCTTCTATTTTTGTTATTTTTTCTTATAAAGTAGCTGTTTAAAAATGTCAGTACCTATATAAGTAATTTTGTTATGGTTGTACCTAGTATTTTATTTTTATTTTCTAAATAACTTTTTGATACAATCTTAATTTCATGATGAATTGTCAATCTTAAATATCATCATCCTTGAACTATTATAAGCTATTATATAAATAATTAAAACATAAAATACCTTTGAAGTATGATTTGAAAAAAATTAACTACTATACTTACCATATTGCATTTGCTATCCGACAGTTAAACTAATATATTTTATAATTAATACACTATTGAAAATGTATTATTACACAGTGATTGATTTTTTAGGTAAATTGTAATGGCACTAAACCGGTGGAAGTAAAAAAATCAAGGTCATTAATGGTGAATGCAAGGCGCTTCTGGAACTTCGCGAAGAAGTGCCCAGGCCATTTGAGAAGATTTGCGGTTTGGATTTGGAAACACATAAGATATGGTATTCAATGTCAAACTATTGAAAATAAAATTAGATGTGGAACTAAGGGAGCTAAAAAGGATATTACTGAAAAACAATGGAAAAAAATACCGCAAGCTCTACGGAACCTTTTGCTTAAGAAAACTCCAGTTTCTACAACTTAATATTTTGGAAATAATCATATTATTATACCATTCAATAAAGAAAATTGTTACAAATTTATTTTTAAAAATTGTCTTATTTATTGAAGTGAAACTTCTTGAAGTGAACGACTCCAGAAACGTTAAACGTTAAATATTTAACACTACCATGACTGGCATGATCACTAGATTATTTCACGCATATTTTATACTTCCCCAGACTTGGAAGAAAAACTAATATCATAGAAAACTCATGGAAAAAAAAATTTATTCCCACTACAATTACATAGGAATTTTACTGTTTCTGCCAAGTCTGGGGAAAATGGGCAGTGATAGGAAAAATAGGTTTTTTGGTGATCATGCCTGTTTATTTAGTCATGAACACTACTATGGTGCATGCGCGTCGTATACCTGCTATGCAACGGTATGCTGTCTTGTGCGCTGCGGGGCTTGGCTTCGAGCACGTTGTACGTCGTCCTTAGTCGAGCGTTGGTAGTGCCCACAGGTATATAACACTACTAGATATAATACTAGTGCTATTGAGAGAGCGCTACTCGTTGGTGCATCCAAATGACCGAGCGTTTTTGTACCTAAATTTTTCCCACTCTACCTATAGTTGTAGCAACTGTAGCGGCGGCCAGAGTACTGGCAGATTTAGTGGTGGGAACGCGTGAGATCGGACGAGTTTTGGATGCCGCCGAGTAGCGCTCTCACTATGGCACAAGTAATAGTGCCGTAGATTAAATGAAAACAGATTGTGAACTTCTTCAACTGCAACACAAAAAAGGTGGGCAAGTGGGTGTCGCTCTGCTGTACAGTAGGTTACAAGTGGGTCACTGTATAATGGATGGTATTAAATTTGAATTCAATGATATAATATCATTGTATAAGAAAAACGATTTTGAGCGGTGATGGTATGTCAGTCTATGTATAAGACATATTATATACAAATCTATGGTATTAACCTTCAGTAGGTCACGCGGGGTAATTTATTACCCCACTAATTTTAAACTATGTTTTAATATTATTTAAGTTGGTATGACAGTGTTGGGATTTTATCTAGCTTCTATTTATAAGTCATTAGTAGATAATATTAAGTTTATTTAACGTTTTATCAGTTAGTACGTTCAATACCAGCTTTCGAAGTGTGTGTGTTTGAGTTTGGCAAATTTTTACCCCGCTCGACGAAATAAGTATTTTTTTTTCTGTACTATTATATTATATTTGGAAATGGATGAATTAGAACGTCGACGAATTGAAGCGTTCATTGACGATTTCGATGATATTGAAGATATTTGGGAAGGGAACTCAAGTGACGAAGAAGAGGATAATGTTGAAATGTTACAAAAAGATCATAACACTGATACTGAACAATCCGATATTTCTGATGAAGAAAACTCAGAACAGGCAGAATATAATTTCGTAGATAATGCTATTATAAACGATGATAATTACCATGAATCAGATGATGAGTTACCACTTAGCATGAGAATGTTGCCATACTATATTGGGAATGATGGAACTAGGTGGAATAAACGTGCGCCAAACCAGAGAGTTCGCACGTCTAAAAAAAATTATGTTACGGAAAAATCAGGTGTTTCTCCAACTATTAGAAACAAAACAAATATTCTTGAATGCTGGCAAGTGTTTTTTACAAAACCCATGTTAGATACAATAGTAAATTGCACCAAAAAAAAATTGACCTATAGTAGGTACCTATAATAAATTCCAAATTAATCATATCACAATATCCATTAGATACTTATAACGCGTTATACATCAACAAAAACCGTGATACTATCATAGATATATAATAGTACACTTTAGAAGTTTCAAGTACCCACGAATAATATTATTCAATCACAACAAAATATTAAATAACTAAAATCGTAATTCTTGGTTTAAATATGAAAATTTGTCTAAATTTGAAATTAAAATGTCTGTAAAAAATAAGTGTGTTTATATATTTATTAGATTTTTTGGTTACAGTATGAATTATTTAAGAGAATCTTTGTTTTAAATTTTCAACTCTTAGTTATAAAAACTGAACATTTTATAATTTTTAATTCCAACGATTGATAATTTTCGAGATTTTGATAAATTTTGTCAAAATTCCAACTTTAAATGCTTATAAAAAAAATCGTGCCTATGTATTTTTAATATTTTTCAACTGCTATTGTAACAATATATCAGGAGCCTTGTATTACATTTTTACACTTTTTGGCCAAACAGATAAAACTTTATTGATACTTATAGAAAAAAAAACTAAAAAAAATTGAAAGCTGTAAATGTCCATAAACAGCTCAAAAAGAGTCAAAATATTTTCAAAATTGTATGGTGTATAGAAGATGCTAATTTAAACATTCAGTGAAATTTTCATGTATCTACAGTTGTTCGTTTTTGAATTGCAACAAAATAAGAAAATCGCTACATGAGTAATCGAGTGAAAATCCAATGTTGTAAAAATTTGAATTTCAAACGCTCATAAAAATTTAATTTGACTGTCCGGTAGAGATTTTTTTATTGATAAAGGTAGATAATCTTATAAGGAATCTTGTGTTTCATTTTCAAATCTTAGATTTAAAAATAAAAATTTTTACGAATTCTTAACTCAAAATAATTCGCTAATTTTCGTGATTTTTCCATATTTTGTCAATTTTTGAACTTTAAATGCTTATAAAAAAAAAATTGTGACTAAGGATTTTTAATATTTTTCATCTGCCTTTGAAACAACATATTAGGAGCCTTCTATTAAATTTTCAAGCTTTCGCAACCAATAAATAAAATTTTATTGATATTTTTAGAAAAAAAACTAAAAAAAAATGGAAAATGAAAATGTCCCTAAACAGTTCAAAATAAATCAAAATATTTTGAAAATGTTATCGTGTATAGAAAATGCAAATATAAACAACCAGTGAAAATTTCATGTATATACGTTCATTTGTTTTAGAGTTACACCAATAACCAAAATCGATTTTTTGGAAAACCAATTTTGCGTAAAAATTCCCGTTTTTCCTTAATTTTTATGTTGTTTTTTCCCGGCGCTTGTGAAAACTACTGTGAAATTTATACTTTTGACCCCCCAAAGTACCAACTAGATTCACTTTCCTACCAGAAAAGCTACTGATGAAGAAAATCCAACCATTTTTACTGTCCTAAAACGTGATGACAGACACAAAAATATAAATAAAAATATAAAAAAAAACATACATCATTGTAAAACCAATACATTCATCGCTCCGCTCAGAATCTAAAAATTAATACAGTGCTCCGATTGGTTTCCGCCCAAATCAGTGAGATCGGACTCTTAGATATTATTTAGAAAAATTGGTATTTCTAACGTAAATTTTTCGTCAGTTTTTCGCACGATTAAAGATATACTTATATCTTTGTGGTTTTCCATTATACATTTGTGGCGGTGTGGCCGCCCGACCAACGAGAATCGCTTGATTTATGATTAACATTAAGAGGACGTGTCACCCAAAGCTGTACGCATGCAACGACCGAGAGGATGCGCTGTTAGGTGTTTTCACGATCCGCAAGCGCGCGGCGTTTAAGTCACGCCTACTATTCGCAACCGGCCGACGGCGGCGACGAGTGCTCGTTCGGGACTTCGGGAGCGCCGTTTATTTGTCTATGAACCTTCGTCCAGTACCATTCGTATCATTATATAATTCATTATACGCAAATGCCGCCGTAATATTTTCAATACCCTCGCGTACCTACGAACTACAGATTATAAATTAAGATACTGTTTACTTAAATTTATGTCCCAACATATAGATCGTAGAAACTGTATTATAACATAGCTTGAATTGAAGTTATTGAATTATTACTTATTTAAATATAATACTTATTGTAAAATCTAATAAATGGTAAATAAAATAAATACAGCGCAATTAAATTAATATTAATTTACCGTGTATTATTTTTTAAGTTCAACTGTTAATGTTATATTAAAATATGATAATAAGTAATTACAAATATTTATTTAAATTAACAATATGTTTGTAGTAGGTATACCTAATATAGTAATATAATAATTATAGGTAATCTACTCGTAATGATAATAATAATACTCTAAAATCTTTATTTATCATTCTGTAATTTTTAGAGATCGGGTACATTGACTGAGAAAAATAACTAATTTAAAATGTATAGTTGTAAAATATAATGATAACAAATTGTAACATAAATTTATTAAAAAATTATTTCTATAAGTAACTGTTAGTTTAAAATTACCTACTATACAAACTACTATATTATAAGTATTACACAATCCAATGAATTACAGTTTATCAAATGGATAAAATCAATAAATAGATTTAGTATGTGACCTATATTATTTATCACCACATTTATATTTAAAAAAGAAATTATAATCATATTACCTATATTAATATAATAAAAGGGTAACGCGCAACAATTTCCTATTATTTAACCATGAAAAAAAATAATATTAGTTCAACAAGTATAATATAGTTTATAGTTTTCTTTTTTTCTTTTTTTTTTTGTGTCTGTGTACACGATAAGTAGTAGAAATAATGCTTCGATTTTCAACTTCAGTATCTTGTTCGATTGGAAAGTGAATATCGTTGGTGCATTGGGAGGTCAAAATTTAAAATGCTCAGTAATTTTCAAAAGCACCGGGAAAAACAACATAAAAATTAAGCAAAAACGGGAATTTTTACGCAAAATCGATTTTTCACAAAATTGAATTTAGTTTTTGGTGTAACTTTAAAAAAAATGACCTTAGGTACATGAAATTTTCATTTTGGTTGTTTATATTTGCATTTTCTATATACGATAACATTTTCAAAATATTTTGATTTATTTTGAACTGTTTAGGGACATTTTCATTTTCCATTTTTTTTTAGTTTTTTTTCTAGAAATATCAATAAAATTTTATTTGTTGGTTAAAAAAGCTTGAAAATTTAATACAAGGCTCCTAGTATATTTTTTCAAAGCCAGATGAAAAATATTAAAAATCCTTAGTCACAATTTTTTTTATTATAAGCATTTAA